TTTTTTTGCTAAAGCTGGTTACTAATAATTACCAAAAATACCTGATGGGCCTGCTGCTTTCTTTTTCTCTTATAAATAATCATCTTCATCTGTCCTGTACATTTTTCAAAACTAGAAGGTACACACCATCTCTGAAGCACAGTTTTAAATTTGCCCTGCAGATGCCAATAACCACTTCTAGTGGTTTAGGAAGGCTGGGATCTCTCGGACAGACTAGAAAAATGGTGATGAATATGTACTGGTCTTTCATGAGCTGACTGACTAGCAGAACTGACAGACGCTGTAAGGTGCGTTGTAATCTTTTAAGGATTTGGGTATGCCTTGTTTTCATGATGCCCTGAGATTGTTTCATAGGATGTGTGAGGCATTCCTTTGCCTTACAGACTGTTGCATTTTTTGTGTTGTGCGTGAATATAATCTCTGGGTTTTGCTGGGAATAAGTAAGGCAGAATCTGAGGAAGACTTTGCAACAAAATTCAAGTATGATGTTTTGTAAGCATGGGCTGGTTTCCATGGAGAAGGGTCAGTACTGAAGCTGAAGTCCGATGCTACTCTTTAGTTAAGTAGCATCAGAGATATTAGAACTTTGATTTATTACGGAACATGTAATGGATTTCCTGTTGCTTTTTCTTTGGCCCTTGTTCCTTTCGTTTCATGCACTAAATAATAGAATTTATATATGACCGACGTTGGACCACAGCTCAGAGGATAGAGACATGATTTTATTTTGGAGAGGAGGAGTGCCTTAGTTCATTGCTTTCATTGCCAGATGTGTGTCAGTGTTTGTTGTGGTACTGCTGGACAATGTTAAATCCACATTGGCAGGCTTTGGCAATACATTTCTTAGACAACCAGCAGTGGCAACAGTGAAGAAAACCAAATTCTTTATGTGTCTGTGAAAGGCAAACCTAGTCTCAGATCCTCTGTTCAGGAATTGCTTGTAGTTCCAAGTTCTAATGTTGCCCCTGGCTTGGGCTTGTCATTTTCAGAATAATTTAGATATGCATGTTGATTTTAAAGAACTTTGAAAAATTGCCACTTGAATCAGTCACTTCAGGCTGCCTATTGAAAGGATTATCTGGAAGATACTCTCTTCTTCATGGATTCTTGGATTGCCATTTTGCCTGCACAGTCAGGTCAAGGGTTTTGTTTGATTTGGGTTTGTTTTTTTGTTGGGTTTGAGGGAGGGGTTGGTTTGTTTTTGGGTTTTTTGTTTGTTTGGTTTTTGGTTTTGGGTTTTTTTTTTGTTTGGTTTGGTTTTTGTTTTTTCCTTTCCCTCCTCAGATTTTCAAATTTTGTCCTGGCTGTGCTCCTTCATCTTCATGGTCTTCTTCCTTTTGTCTCACTCTCTATGATTAGGGATGGTAGGAATTCCAGCAAGGCATAGCTCTGATACGCCCTTTTTTCCTGCTCCTCTCTGCAGTGCTGTGACATCCTTTGCCATAAAAGCCCTTCAGCTGTGGTTGGGAGAGTGGTAAACCTGGGTTCCTACCCAGGCTAAGTCGGTGTGAAGAAGGAAGCCTCAGCTTCCTTTTTCGCCTGCTCAGGGAGTGGTGGGTAAGGAGGAGCTGAGAGAATGAGGGGGAAGAAAGATGACAAGAGTCAGTGTTCCTTCTTACATGTATGCTGTTATCTCACGGGGTATTACCTCTGGATTACTGGAAACAAAGGTACATTCTGAGGACAAGTTTTGTTTAAACTATAATGTTCGTGTAGAGAAGTGCTGACCTTTCAGGGCAAAGAGGTAAAAGAATATTCCAATCCATCCGTCTTACTGTGCTATTTTCCTCCTAATATGTACACCTGCTGCTCTGATGATACCCTTTTTTCCTACTTGCAAATCACGTGGGTATAAGCTTGCTTTTTTTTTTTTTTTTTTTTGTTACTCCACACTGTGTAATCTTGGAAGGGTCTTGCAGGGAGCGTGTTATGGGTCACTAGAAGTGCATGCTTCAGGAAGAAAGAGGAGACCAAATCTCCAGAACTTTGAAATTACACTGGAATTCATTAAGGGGGAATGGCCTCTAAAAATGCATGAGAAAAGTGACAAGTACAAATAGTTCCCTTCATTTTGGTACACCTTACTCCCAGTTCCTTTGCCCAATGTCAGTATTTGGGTGTTCCGGCATTTGCCCAGCAGGTTAAGTCCTTGATTTCTGTTAGTTTCAGTAGTCAGCGTGTGCACCGTGAATCAAATATACATGGCAAAGACCCAGTCTGCAATTCCTACTGCTCCTTGGCGGGAGTTTATTCGATCTGTTCCTCTTGGCTAGGACTCTTACCCTGGCTTGTGGTCTTATTTACAGCGTGATGGCAGAGTTATTTCCACTCCAAAGCTCTGTAGTGATATTGTCTAAATACTTCAGAATGAGGTATGGCTGGAGATCTGTGGAGAGTGGAACTTAATTTAAATTCTGCAAGAGCTATCTTATTTTCAGAGATTTTTTTTTTTAAATAATACAAAATGTAGACTTTTGGGAATGGGGGTTGAAACTTGTGGTGTCTCCTTGAGAGATACTGTTTGGTATTCTGAGCCATCATGTGAATACCCTACTCCTGGACCTCATATGTAAATGTTTTTAAATGATATTTGGTACTATTCAGGGATTATGTAGATGCATAATGATGTAGGTGCAGTTTATGCTTTAAAGTCTGAGTGCAGAGCCATGGATTTGGCAAAGAGCTAGGGAAAAGAAGTTTTGGTTAGCTCGTGTTTAGGGAGGATCTGTTTCAGGAAGTCTTTAACCACACAATTCCAAATATTCGTGCTGATACTGTAGAATATAAGTTTTGATTGTTTTCTCTCTGATTTTATGTACTTAAGACAAATTTGTGTCTTAAAAACAGTTTTTTGGGGGATAAGCACATTCTTTGAACAAAGTACATCCCACTGAATTTACAGGGGGATTTCAAATTGTTGCATGTTGGCTATCTGTCCATGTGCACGGTCATATCCCACAGTTAAGGTGAAGTAAGTTATTCCTCACTCAGTGACTTGTGATTGCCACTTGCATTAGTACTCCCAACAGTAAAAGGAAGATTTTATGTACTGGCAGTTACTATAGCGCATTTTACACACAATAACTTGTTACTTTACAGCAGCTTTGGTGTCCAGGTCCTAATATAGCCCCTGCCTTGGGTTGATCATTTTCAGAATAATTTAGATATGCATGTTGATTTTAGAGCACTTCGAAAATTTGCCACTTGAATCAGTCATGTTGGCCTGAGAGGACTATCTGAAGAGTGAAGGTGAAGGGTAAGCGGCAAGCAGAGCTCGGAACCCTGCTGGCAGTGACACTTGTGTTTGCAGCAGACCGTGGTGTGTCGGTGTAGGCGATGAAGAGTACCATGGAGGCGGAGTTAAGTTTAGATGAGTGCTTAGCAGGGTAGGAAATTTGGTCTTAATATTCTATTAAAAACAGAGACCTAAGTACCACTATAGAAAGCCTGGTGGGGAACTCTATTAAATGTGTAACTTCAGTCTGAAAAGCGCTCGTGTCAGGTAAGATGTGGGGAAGAATGGGGAATAACAGGGAAAACATAACTATTAGGTAAAATGAGTAGCTTTATCCAGACGATGTTAAATAATAGAAACTCCCTCTCAAAAGAGTATTGAATAATTGGAGACGTTTCAGAGGTGGCTGAAAAATGAGAAATACGAGGTATGCACTGATAAGGAGACTGAAAAGATTGGATTCGTTTGAGGGGGAAAAATGAAGAAGAGAATGATATATATGTAAATATATGTGTATATACATATATGATGAATCTGGAACATCTGTTGTCACTGTCTTATAACACAAGAAGAGGGACACACTTCAGTGAGATTCTTACCTTTTTTTTTTTTTTTTAAAGTATGTTCAAATCAGTTATTGGGCATTCAAATGTATGCATTTATAATGAAATGGATTCTGTTTTTCCCTAACAGTTAGGTTTAAAAATGTATTTCTGTTTTAAAAGCATGTGGCTTGAAGCCCTCATCTTCAACCACTCCATCTGAAAATGAAGGTCTCTCTAGTCCTGCACTTTGTTTTGTTTAAATTTTTTTTTTTCCCCAATACAGAGCTCCCTGAAGATGTCTGGCTCATATTGCTTCAAACAACAAATGTCCAGACAGTTTAACTGCTGAAGCTTTCCCACCATTCGTTTTTCTCCTGAAGCCTTAATCTATTGAGGGATCAGAACTGGCTGCTATGGTAAGACTTTTTTAAAGTGGTAGTAAAATGCTAAAAGTGGGTGCAATGTGCCAGTTGATTTTGGTTTTATTTCTTTATTTGTTAGCAAGACACCAAAAAAAGAAAAATCTTAATGCTGTACAAAACCAGAAGCGGATGATGCCCAACTTCGAACAAACTAACCAACCAAGAAACTTTGTTCTGTGTTTTATCTGTTTATACTTGCCCTTTGCTTCTAAGTGAGGAATAAGAATCAAGTGAATAATTTCATAAGATTTTTTTCTTGTGTGTAGATATATGTGTATAACTCATCAAAATGTTGCGTATAAGTGTTTTACAAGTCTCTTCTAGGTATTGCATTTTGTTTTAAATGCATTTGGGTTTAATGTCAGTTCAAATTATAGTATTTAAAATACTTAAGGTGATCCGTAGAAGCATAGAAGTTTTGATTTTTGGAGAAAAAAAATTGGTAAAAATCAGAAGAGGAAACCTTGTAAACAACAGGTGAGATAGAAAGATGACTGCACCTCTAGGCAGATACAAATCCACAACTGTTTGCTAGGTTATGCAGTAATACTGCATTTGGAAACTGATATTTGTCCTTGATCTAAACAACTGTAGCACTTTTGAATAACCATGTGATATTTTACAAATTTCAGGAATCAAGACCAACTAAAACAAGAGAAGATGTATTCAAGATGATCCAGCCAGAAGATTTTTCACTTCATAGAAATCTTATTTTTGTTTAATATGTAATATAATTTGACAAAACCAAGTTCAATTACTTATCTTGAAATTAAGACACACTTGTGGCCTTCATCAGAAATGTTTCTAACATTTTCAAGAAAAAATATGTCCCAGAAACTGAGTATGTTTTTACTAGTTTTTGGAATCATTTGGGGTTTGATGTTGCTACGCTACACTTTTCAGTATCCAAGACGCCAAAGCAGTGCCGAGTTGCGTGGCCAGATACTAGATCTAAGTAAAAGATATGTCAAAGCACTGGCAGAAGAAAATAAAAATTTAATGAATGGTGGCGGTGGAGCCTCTATGGCAGGATATGGTAAGAGGGAAAAAAACGTACTAGTTATTCAAGTATCTTTTTTTCCTAAAAACTGTGAAGTTACGCTTTTTTCTTTTTTTAAAGTAATATATACTGCTTTTTAAGAGGAAAACCTCTCTGTATTAACTGATTTGGTTTTAGTTTATTCACTGAAGTTGAAGATTAAGATGTGGTGCAAAATCAAGCTTGAGACATGAGATTTTTGTTTTCCGGGAATTTTTTAGATATCTCCAGGTGTATGACTACTGTCACTTACAAGATTAACAGCAACATTGTGCTTTTTCTGAATCTTAAGCTATTAAGGAATAAGCACATGCTTGATTCGGGGATGAAGTTTTAGATTAAGTCACTTCAGCATTCCAGATTCTTCTTGTGTGTCATTGCTAACTTTCTGCTTTTATTTCTTTAATTTTCTTCTCTTTAAGTAGTAAAAAAGCAGGGGGAAGCAACATACTAGTTGAGTTTGCAGTCTTGAGACTGCAAGGCAATTATGAATTTAGCAGAATCTCCCCTTGCTTTAGAAGTAGCCATTAGAGATAAGGTCCCTTGTCTCTAGAGCTTTGATACTTGCTGCATCGTATCTCTCCGTCTGATTTACCTGTTAACTTGATGAATATGTTTCCAGTATTCACTGGTAATATATTACTAGAGCCTGTGCCTGTCTTCTGAAATACAGAAAAGATAGTTTTGAGACTATAGTTTTGAGGTCTTTTTGGCAAAGCTATGAAAATGTCTTAATACTTTTAACTCTTTAGTCCCTTGTAGCTTCTTCTGAGGAAGGCTGCAATGAACTCTAGTTAATCCCTTAGGGATTAGGTTTGAAGAAACTACTTTCCTCTGTCATAAAGGAAAAAATGTATCTGTGAAAATAAGGGTAGTACAAGGCTTAAAAAGAAATATTTAAAAAAATATATATATGTGAAGATTTATATTAATGTACTTTGATCCCCTTGTTAAGGAATCCTTAAAAGGGTGGGCTCTACCAGTTGTAGGATGCCCTTTTTAGACACTCTGGTAAGAATACAAACAGCAAAAATGTGTCTGAAATCTTTTCGCTGCTGCTCAGGGACAGGGACAGGAAGGCAAGTCTGTGATGACAAGGAAGCAACCCAAGAGGAGGAGGACAGTTTCAAAATGTCTTAGCCTTTAATTCTTTCATTCATTAAGTTAACATTTTTGCCACAGTAAGAGATTACTTTTTCTTTTCTTTCCCCTTTCCCCCCCGCCCCTTTTTTTTTTGTCTTCCAGGATTTCCTGTCTTTACTGTGTAATTACTTTTCTGTGTAATTTGTTTTAAAAAACCCTTGTGTACTACAGTTTTCTACTGCTGTATAAGTCTTACAGTGTATTTCCAAATGACATTTGTCTTCTGAGGCTTTGTCTGAAGTTTAATAAAAAAATTAAGTCAACTCTTGATCTACATGCTGATCATCAGGCTTACAACTTGAGTAGACAATCCCTTCCCTCAGACTGTTGAGCACAGAGAGATGCTACAGAGTACATGACCCACAGCATGTCATTGACAGCAGACCCTGCTCTGGCTTGAATTGTAAACAAATTTATTTTTTTTTTTTTTCCCAAAGATGATATTATTAAACAAGAACTAATTAATTTGAGAGGCAGGGACTGACCTGAGATTTTTTTTTTTTTTAATTTATTACTAGTGTTTTAATTTTATCTGGATTACTCCTCTTTTTCTACTTTCATACCTGTTTTTTTCCTCCCCAATTTTTCTGATTAGTTAAGAACTGATTAGAGGGTAGGCGAGAGAGAGTGAGTCTGTGTGTGTCTGCGTCTGTGTCTTTGTGTGTTGGGGGGATCTTAAAACCTTGTAAAACCTGGTAAGTTTGTTCATTTTTTCCCAAACTAAGAGAAGATGGTGTTATGAATAATGACAACAGCGTAATTAGATTTTGTTGAAATGTCTGTTACTGTTTTTGTGTTCCAGAATATGGGAATTTTTTTACTGTCCTTTCTCTTGTTTTTCAATCAATATAGGCCTTAATACATGGAATTTTTTTTTCCTGCTTTATAGCTTATCTAAGAAGTGATAAGATACTTTCTCATAGTAGTTTTTCTGTGGGATAGATCTGTTATTTAAAGGAAAGCTCTTAAGAACTACCTTTTTATGTTGGAAAATATTTAAATATATTCTGTTGCTGTCCAAGCATAAAAGGTGACATAGCTGGGTATTCTAGTGCTGTTGTCTGGATGAAATTTGAAATACTGCATTTGAATAGTCACTAGTCTAATACTCCAACTAGTGGTTTTGTTCTTACACTCAAATATTTAATTGGCTTAATTCACAGTTCACTATTATGGTGATATCTTCCTTGCCTAAAATAACAAAGAAATGGTGTTAAAGAAAAATCAAGCAGCTATTTAATTCTATGCTTGTTTGCTAATCTGCACTGTTTCCCAAAAAGTATAGAAGGAAAGATAGCAAGTCTTAAGATGTGAATATGTTGAAATAGCAGTTCTTTTCCACACATAGTAAATAATAGGATCTAATTTGTTTTTTCCATTATCTTCAGCTGATCTTAAGAGAACAATTGCTGTTCTTCTGGATGACATCTTACAACGCCTCGTGAAATTGGAAAACAAAGTTGATTACATCGTTGTGAATGGCTCAGCAACAAATACCACTAATGGAACTAGCAATCAGGTGCCAGTAACTTCAAATAAACGTGTAAAACCAGCAAGCAACATTAGATAGCAAACAGGGCCACTTCGTGTTGCTACATCTATGATAGGTAATATTTAAGATAAGCTTTTTATCTCTGGCTAGGGCAAAGCAGTAGCTGACTCTAAATGAAGCGTAAACTATACTATTATACAATGTGCTGGATCTATGTAGGCCTAACTTATGTGCATAGGTTCTCAAAGCATTATTTCATTGCCTTTGAGCAGTACTTCTGAAGTGATCTTTGTCGTCCTTAAAGATATTTTGATATCATTATTTGATGTAGTACGCCATTGGGTAATAAAAATAAATGGAAAGCAATGGGGAACTTACAGGTAGGTTTCTAAATATATTTATTTAAGTATAAATATAACATATCTTTTAGATACGTGAGCAGTATTGTAGCTTATTCATTTTTTGTGATCTGCGTTAAGCCGAGGTAACTGAGGAAAACACATTGTTAAACAGATATTAGAAAATGTGTATACTTAGAATATTTTGTTACTTATTTACTAGAACGATATTAAATTGAGGATGGCATTGGTGGTAATATTTTAAAATTGTGACCCAAAGAATGTCTTTATTTGCACTATCTGTTAGAATAGCTAGAGAGAATTTACTGTATATTTAAGAAAATTAATTATAATAGGAAAACATCCTAGGTAGTAACACTGTCCACGTATATCTTTACGCCAGATTTAGGGCAGTTAGATTATCAAAAGCAAATCATAATCTGTGATATCTTAGATGATTCTTTCTTACAAAGATATTTAAGTGTATGTATTTTGTAATTGCAGATAAAATTATTTAAGTGATGGAAATGAGTTTTGGATATGTGGATACTGTTTATTTTTATTCATTGCTGTTTCTTTTTAACTTTTTAGTACCTTGCAATTTGTGATGAGTATAGCACACCATCTCCCTGAATTGCTTTTTTGATCAGGAGGAAAAGCAATGAAGGGAAACAAGGCATCTCTGCATTTAACAGAGATATATGTACTGAGGGTGTCTTATCATGGAATATTTGAGAGCTAAGGTAATGTTTGCCTTATGTCTAAGTTAGCCTTACAGCAAAGTGAATTGCAGTGTGGATGCACTGTATTTCAAAATGTTACTGAAGTTACATTAAAGAGAAAGTGCCACTGAGCCTGTTTTTTAAAATGTACTGAATGTTTTTTGGGGGAGGGAGGGTATGTTCAGGGACTTCTGCCAAAAGTGTGCTGTGAGTGGGTTTTTGGGTGTGGTTGGGGGTGGTCTAATCAATTAAGGAAAAGGTGGTCTAAACAATGAAGGAAAAAAAACCACCAGTAAAACTGGAGGTGCTGGATGATATACTATAAAAAGTTATGTGTTTTTTCTTTTCTTCTATTTCCCTGCTGATATTCTGGACTGTTACAAAGGAAAAATACACTTACAACCTTAGTATCAAGATGATTTTTTTTTTTCTGTCACATTGTGTGTAAACATGTATTTGTTTCAATGCAAAGAGAAAAATAAATTTTTAATTGCACTTGTAAAGGCTCCTGTTCTTTTTTTTTTTTTTTTTTTTTTTTTTTTTTTAACAGTCTTGTCATTCTTGCTACATGTGCTCTTTCTGGGTTGGAAAATTGTATGTCGCTGAAGTTTAGTAGTAGTCTATCTGGTATTCTTCCTGCTTGATCACTGAGTTCTTTTGCTCCTGAAATTCTAATACCCTGAAACTTTCCTCAGGTTAGAGGTGAGGGAAGAAAGAAATGAAAAGAAAAGAAAATGACTGGTTTAGATCTTTAGTGGTGAAGACTTCACTCTTTAATCTAAGAGTGAAGAAGACAGGTACATAACTTTTTTTGAATCTGCAAGTCTCTACTGACAATGTGAAGATAGGTTTTTATATCTATCTATGTATGCTTTTTATTCCCTGAGTACTTGATTGGTACTAACTAAAACCTTGGTAGGTGGTGGTGGTAGTATGTGGTGTCCCTTCGTGCTGTAAACAGTAATATGAGTAGTTTTTGTGTGTGTATGCAAAGTGACTTTTTTCTTTTCTTGTAAGGGTATGTGAAGTCTTAAAGTTATTGGGGATTGTTAAACAAGCGTAATAAAAGTTGCAAGGTGAGTATTTGTCAGTATGTGCACAGGCAGCTTGTTTTATGCGGGGATTTTGGAGACTGATACACTAACTTACAAGCAGTTATGTACTCCTCATAGTAATTCATGGTGCCGTTAGCAAATAGTTGCTTTTCTCTCAGGTTTCAGTAGTACAGTGGCTTATTGGAATTAGCTTGTACTTGACAAATATATAGGGAGAACTGTGAACTACCTATATCTTATGGCACAAATGTTCCATTCATGAATATAATTGAAACAACTGTTTCTCAAGAAGCAAGTTAAAAATACTCTAATAGCATCCTACATCTAATTTTACATGAAACCAGCATTATTAGGGTCTGATACAGCAATACATTAGTGTCCGTAATACATCTTGCTCCTCTTTTCGTGGCCAGTCTTGTTCTGTGCTGTATTGCCATGCCGTGCCTCTGACTTGTGTTCTCCCTTCACCAACTGTCTAGCACAGTACTACTGCTGTGATTTCTGTGCTCCGGCAGTGCAGAAGGTGGAAGCTGAGCTTTATCCTTTTTGCTGAGATGACAGCATTTTTCAGAGTGGCAAAACTAAACTTCAAGTGTGCGGACTAAGGAAAAAAGGGTAAGGAAGGGATAAGGGGAGGGTCTCAGTTGCCTTTTCTATCAACAACAGTAGCAAGAAAACATCTGCAGCCTCCTTTATAGGATATTTTGAGAGGTGTGGCAGCCCTGCAATGGCAGGAGGTTGTAAAGAACCCAAAGGCTTGTGAAAAAGAAGCAAGAGAAAGCCTACAACTCATCTCGGGTCCAAAATGCTTGATAGTATCATGGCATTTGGTTGTGTTGCCAAACATCTTTTAATTTTTTTTTTTTTTTTTAAGGAATATTTAAATAGTATTTCTGCTGCGCTACAGTATTTATGATGCAGCTATGTATTTCCCATTTCAGATGACATCACAAATCCCCCCAAAGTGACCTGCTTCAAGTTTTGTGAAATACGGAATCTCCTCAAAGTTGGTTGGTTCTTTGGCTGGATTGGGTTTCGGGTTTTTTTTGCTTTTCTTTTTCTTTGGAGGGCAGGGGGACATACAACCTCCCTGATATAAAGAACTCCTAATTTGGGGGTTGTAGTGGTTGTTTTGGTTTTTAAATCTTTTGGTAAATTATGAGACTTGAGTTTTCCCAGCTGTAATTTACCTCATGAGTGTTTACCAGCTGATTTCAGTAGGTAATTGATAGTACTTCTGTGCCTGTGAATGATTGTTTAATGTAGGTAGCAAAAAATGTTCAAGATCCACTCCCAAACAAAAGTTCTAATGAAGAAAAATGGAAAGAAAAGAGTATATTGATTGCTGTCTAAACAGCTAGAAGCACCACAGGTCTCAATACAGCTCTTGAGTTCCACAACCAAATAACTGGCAGGCACATATCTTTCTTAGGGAAGATTGTCTTGATTCCCTAGTTCTTTTTGTGGCTTTTCTCATCTAAATAAATAATTTTTTAATCTCACCATAGTAATGTTTAATGTAATAAAGGTATCCAACCATTGTCTCACAATTGTGTGTGAAGAAGAAAAAGTGCTGAGTGGTTCCACACTGAAGAACCTTTGGGATGAATGGATGGACAGACAGACAGATACTCCACTGAAACGCACTGAGATGGCTCTTAACGAGCTGCTTATCCACTGTTAGGATCACAGAAGTTTGCTGATCTGTTTTTAATGAAATAATTGAAAAAATACAGAAACATGGCACAAGGATGTAGAGGTTCTTGTAATCAGTGTGGTGAAACATCAATATCCTTGGCACCCAGTAATATGCCTAACATATCGCACAGTTGTCTGTTTTTCCAAGTAACTGCTAAATACTTGTTTTTCATTAACACAATTGTTTAAAGAGGCTGGCTAGATTGATCTAAATTCTGATTGAAAATATTTGCTAATGCAGAGGTTTCCAAACTGCATCATGTCTGTGATGTGTGCAAGTTGCCGAAGTGACCAACTGCCTCCTGTGCAGGTACGTATTCTGGGGGTAATCGCTGCTGTTGCGGCCTTTTGAATGCAGAAGCAGAGTAAATTTGGGAACCTCTACAAGAAGTTTATTTAGAAAAATGACTGCATAAAATTTAAGATCCCAATTTATTATGTTTTCTTAAAAACCTTTTAGAAAATACTTCCTCAAAATACTCAAATTAATGGAACGAGCTAAATCTCTAAAACATTTTTACTTAATTGGTGTGGTTTTTTAAAGGTCACGTAGAGCGTCTATTGAAATCTTTAAAAATTAATCCAAATATAACCTCCTTACCTGGGATTGTGTCCTTTCATTAATTTGTGCTTCACAAAACGCCATCTGCTATCAGTGGTGTTCAATTTAATGTATTTGATAGTATGTAAAATACTTTTTCAAAGGCAAGAGTGAAATGGGAGACTCTTTTATAGCAGCTAAGAAGATGAATTGGACTTTTGCAATGTTTCTCATGTGGAATAGACTGTTACTGAATTGACATTTCACTAAATCTCAGTTTGTCTGGGATGGTGCACATGTGCATTTGTATCTGTTTAAAAATATCATTTAGGTTATTAAAATGAAGCCCAAGTTAAAGAAAAAAAAAAATCCTATTACATACATACATGAAATCACATCACTTAAGCACCAGTGGCATCACATACTATGGAATTATCTTATCTGTTAGTGATCTTAATTACTACAAATTTCCCAACTATGTTTGTCAGTACCTCCAGCAAAACCCTTTCATTATTAATTGACCCTTGCTTGCGTATGAGCTTGCATATTCCCTGTGGCATTCATCAACTTACTCTGTTCAGTAGATGCCTAATCATGTTCTGTTTCTCTGGTAGCAAAACTGAAGAGAAACATGTTGACATTTTAAAATGCCTGTAAACTAGGGTTAATAATACCCAAACTAATTTTTATTGTAGCATAATGTGTGGTCATGGCTAGAAGTTGA